CACACACACACACACACACACACACACACACACACACACACACACACTTCATTAAATGCATACATACATGATAAATAAATAAATAAATATATGTAATCTGTATGCATGAAAAGGTTTTTTGCGTGTATGTGTGTGCACACTTTGCTCTCCAGGTTTGGTTCACAGGTTTTCAGGTGAGAGGATCTGGCAACTACTGGCTGAAGCCAAGAGACCAGTTGAAAGTATATGAATGGTACTAATAACAATAGTAAGAAGTAAAACAACATTATACTGCAGAACAATTTTGCAGGCCTATGCACAGAGATAAATAGTAACCTATCGATGGTTAGAGTTAATAGTCGGTTTAAGTTCTTGTTATTTGTTAAGTAATCTAGTACAACACCAGCATTAGCACCTGCATGTTTTGGTGCCGAGAAAAGCGGAGGGAAGATTTGGGGCAAGGGTCAAGTGTCCGTGTTGCCGTGGTGATGGCCGTCCCCGTGACCATCGAAGGCGGCAAAGAGGTCAAAGGACATCGACTGCAGCGCGTGGTCCAGCTGTCCCTGGGGCGACCTCATCACTAGGCTGCAGTGAAATCCTACGTTCACAGGAAAAAGAGGGAGGAGCCTTCATTCTGAAAGAAGAAAGAAAAAACAGGAGTGAGTTTATTGTCATGTTATTTACAGACATGAAGTTTAATCTAACTGAATGAGATTTGTTGGTCAATACTCCCCTCAGAAACTTGATTTAAATGTGTGTACATACAGTAGATGTGATTTATTATGGAGCAGTAGAGAAGGAGGGGAGGGAGTTCAAATGGATACCCCACTCTGTTACCAAGTAAGGAAAAAGTGCTCTTCAAGCGGCTTGCCTTTGTGTGTGTGGGTGAGTGTGTGAGTGCGTGTGTGTGTGTATTCCTCAGCTGGTAGACACTGAAGTGGCAGGTGCTTTCACGGCAAGGGAAAAACAGAGTGGCATTTAGCACCGTGCAGCTGACACAGGGCAGTCTCCAATGACGGCAAAAGATACAGCAACAACACTCCCACACAGCAACACTCCCACAGCAACACACACACACACACACACACACACACACACACACACACACACACAGGTATTGTTGATTGCATACCTACTAAAGTCAAATAAACAAAAGAATGCCAGGTTCACTCCCACACACAGCACAGCTGTGTGTTTTCACACACTATAAACTCTGGGTCTTCAGAGTGTCACATTTCTCCCAGTGGAAAGCTGTGCCGACCCGTGCCCCGGTGTACTTGTTTGTGAGGTTTCATTTGCATGCAGAGCTATCAAATGAGCGCGGAAGTCTTGGCTGATGCTCACTCTCACACACACACACACACACACACACACACACACACACACACACACAC